TCGTCTTAAGGAATTCATGTCTCTTCTGTCGTTGCACACATAGTTGGTCCTTTTCCCTTGAACCTTCTCACTTTAGGTTTTCAAGCGCTGTTTACTTGAAAGCCACTCCACATTTCGATGTGAAAGTACAGCGCTCGTTTTGACCTTCTCGATCGACAAGTTCACGATCCTGCATAATTTCCCCGGAGAACCTCATAACAAATCATTCCTTCTCGTTTAAACAATGCTCGATTTCATTACAAAGGCCATTGTGAGTGAAGTGGCGAAATTGGCTACTACGTCAGCGCTTTCCGTACGGATTACTGTAGAAGAGTGCAGCGCTGACAGCGTTGTGAGAGCACGTTCTTTCACACGCCGTGTCTTTAATCGTTTAATCACAACAGCGCGTCTAGAGACACACCTCCATAATCCGACAGTAATCCTACAGTAATTCGAGTCACGTCACGGTCGTCCCCACTGTTTCGCCACAAAGACATCGGATTAGCGTTAATGGCGTGCCTTGAACATCGGATAGAGGGGCACTCGTCGGAGGAGCGTTGACCAGTGGTCTGCCACGAAAAATGGGTCATTTATCCCAAGGAATTTTGTCCTGAGGATGGCTTCACCTTCAGAAGTGTTGTGTTTATCTTCCGTTACGGGAAGGGAATATCTTCCCACCTAGGGGTGGCGTTCTCCCCACTCCTATCCCCCATTGACCTCTAAATACTGGCTAATTAATGCTGAATACATCTTCGTTGAAGTACAACTTCAATTACGCCTACAGAGCCTTCCTGATTTCATGTTTTGTCGACATTTCTCCTCTTATAAAATTTTTTTCTGAAGAAATTTCTCCTCATTTCGAGAGCTCCCCGGCTAGATCACTTAGTTACCGTTCTGAGCTCACTATTACTGATGCTCAATGTAAGTCGTCTAGCGCACCTAAGCCTTGGAATAAACCTCAAATGATTATCTCTGGCTTATGTTACCAAAATCGAGGACTTTCTATCTTCTCGAATTTCGCTATCTATGTAGTTGCAATAGACTTCACTATGAAGTCGCTAACGTCACAACGTAATTGATTGGCAATTAAGACCAACGGATTTGATTCGAAGCACTGCTTTAGTAGGCCGGATGTGCTGCAACGGTCGCTAATGACCTGCCGGGTACGGTAATCTGACACTAGTCGGCAGGGATTAACGCGTAACAATCAAATGGTAACAATTGAGGTGCAGATGTGAGTTCATAGAGCATTGAGGGTGGAAGGAACCTCTGAATGGACAAGAAATTCGAATCAAACAAATCCGAAATCAATCAAACTTATCAGATGCTTCTAAATTTTCGGACTCCACAACCCTGCAACCTCTACCCAACCGAAGGCGCGTAAGGGATTTATATTCGGCTGAAACGGCCATTTTTAGTTGCTTCAAGAAAGTAGAATATTATGTCTACCTTGAATTCGGATAGCGCAAGGAATACAAGTAGCGTGAAAAAGTAACATATCGATTCCGCTCCGCCAGAGCTTATCATATTCCCTATGATTGAATTGTCATAACCCTGTGAAGGTATGTCTTCTCACTCAAATGTTTCTAAAGCGATTCACTGGTATCATAAGGCTGCTACTTCATGGGTGTTCTGACTGCAAAGAAGCTGTTTGGCAGGTTTCGATCAGTCAGTAACTGAATCAGCCTATCAGACCTCAACTGGTTGCATGTGTGTGTTTCTATTTCCAATCGATTGCGCAGTTTCCATTTTTAGAATAGTCGTAAGCGCCATAGCAGAGGCACAGTTTGGGGACAGTTTGGGTGCACACAGCTTCCAGTGCTTTCACGTAACGAGAGGAAGGTATTCGATCTACCATAATCAGGGCCACAGCTCAGTTTCTAGAATTAGGAAGTCGCCAAATTCTTTAGCATCCTTTCTGCCAGCAGTAGTTTCAAAAACAACGGAAACAGCCGGCATGATCTAGAAAACGGCATTCAGCCGTCATATGTTGCACATTATTATTCTGAAAGCGCTTTTGCCCGTTTTGCGAAAGGTTTTGCTCTAGAGGAGCCGGTTTTTGAAAGGAGAGCTTGGGAGGCCAAACATGCACGTCCTTAGCCTATCCTGCCAAATTTTGTGGCCTAATGGGTACTGCCCCTTAAATGTCATTTTTTATGCCAAGAGTTGCTCGACCTTGTTGTCCAATTACTTCATAATGCATTCACTCACCTGCTGTGGTGTGTATTTTATTTGTTAGTGCCACCGTGTTTTTGAAAGTGCTGCAGCTTTGGACGGGAGAGAACCACGATGCCTGTCATGATCCTATCGAAGTGCATTAGTTCATAAAACACAATTCCAATATCTTTTGCTCATGCCAATTCCTTGACACTTCATTATTACCTTCTCCAAATAATCTCATCAATCCAATAATACCACCATTTCAGGTTTGGTTCCAAAATCGTCGTGCCAAGTTTCGACGACAGGAAAAGCAGGACAACCCGATTGCTGAAATGCCGCCAGTGAAGCAGGGCCAAATCCCATCATGGTCAGTTCAGATCGAATCTAGCTATTTAGCGGTATGAAATCTAGTTCAAAATAGCCTGGAACAGTGTCCCAGCTAACTTCTTACAGCATTTTCTAGCATTCGTGAAGCTGAGGTAGCGTTTAACCTTACGCATTGCAGGTCATGGATGGCACAGCAGTCGAACACAAACTCCAATGAGGAATTCCCGCCGCCATTCTCGACGTTCGATCAAAAACCCGTTCTTCGCAGATCTGAAGCCGTCATTCATGAGCTACATGCCGTACCAACCATTTCCCAGCGGGAGGCTTCGGTACAGGTGATTTACATTACGTATATTTATTAGTTGTTAGCTGGGCTTCCGAACCAAAGATTAGTAAATGAAATCAATAGGGAAAACATCCTTGCGCCTACTGAAGAGCGATCGTAGTTGAGATTTCGTAGATAAATGAGTTGCATGAAAATCTGTACCAAGGGTGCGAGACGATGCGCATTTTGCAACGAGGTATGCCCTTAGCGGTCCAGCAGGGCCGTACCAGCGATGCTCACGACGCTACACGCTTACAACTGGCCATACTCTCACCGTGGACTCTAACCACTGTACTAGTTTTAGAGAGACAGAGCGGAGCGTATACTTTGGTGAAGTTAGCAAAGATAAGATTCGCCCTAATGCTTAAACCAACGGGTGAAAAAGGGTTCAATTTTTTTCTCCTGGACCGTTTTTCTTGGGTTTTCTTAAGCCCTGCATCACTGGCTATTTCTATCTTGATTCTGATGGGCTGCCCTTCCATCGTAAATTTCGCCTTCAAGGGTTTGGGTAAACAAAATTCGTATGATAGCAAGATCGAAAGCGCAGCGTTTCTTGCGTGTTTTGCCATTGCGGCGTGTCAGCTTCCATTCTCCCCAGGAATTTCGCTCTGTGCAGTAAGCTTGAGCGGTCACAGTGGCTGTATTTCTACGTTTTCAAATGAAAATTCCGTAGAGTAGATCTGGAGTGAGCACTTTTGTACATACATGAGGAATGTTTTGGAGCTTCAGCAAGCGGAAATGTACTTCGGGGGGGGGGGGGAGGCATTCCATTGTTCTTTTGAGTACTAAAGATAGGAACGAGAGTGCTCGTGACCAGTTATCAATCACTTCAAATGTACTTCGGATAAGTATCGATAGAATGTGGAAGTATACCTAAGACGCTTCCCCAATTCTGCCTGCAAATGTTCATGTAAATGGTCCTGGATCAGAGCAGCGGACATCTTTGCCTATGCCTAAGGGTGGGGGAGCTCCAGGGTGAACAACCACGTGCAAAAAATTGGATAGGGTGTGGGCAGGATTGGAGAGCCCAGAGGAGTGCTTTCTGATAACGAAGATATGATAGTGAGGAGTGCATTCCCCCTACACTGAACTTCACTTTCACCGCTTTCGCATTGCCCACAGAAATGTGCATCTTTTCTTATCTGGATGATGTAAAATACAATAAAAATTACGTAGCAATAATAACATTTTCACTTTCATTCGCAACCTCACCCGTAGCACACTTGATCAACTCAAATACGGTATCTTTCAGGTTTGGCACCCGTTGGCTTGCCGAACGGTCTCTCCACGCCAACCGGTTTCCACCAGAATCCTGCACCATTTCATGTGCTACCGTATCCATCCGATAACCATCAATTAGACCACCACCTGGAGTCGTTTCCGAATTTGTCGTAATTGCATTCAACCACTGCTGTATAGTTCTCTACCGTCATTTCATTGTATGTCAGCTGG